TATATTTTTATTCGATTGCAACGCATTTATTTCTTCTTGATAAAAATCACTTTGTGCTATTTTTACGATTTTCAACATTGCGTGTTCCACTTCTATCGCTGTAATTGGACCTTTGTTTACATTTTGCTTCTTTATGCAGTTAATAAAGCGAGTTACATAAACAATTATTCGCTGAAGCTTTTTCAAACACGATACGCGCGGTAAAATATTTTCACATTGTGTTGCGATCAATGTATTGACATTTGATTTCATTTCGATGTCTGTACTATGCTCGGTGTTTGCATAGTTTTCGTAGTCAATTGATTGCTTTAAAAATTCTGGACCTGACCACCACAACGTATGTTTTTTTAATTCGTCACCGAAAATTCCTCGTGACGCACAATCTGCTGGATTCATTTTACCAGGAATGTGACACCACGTTACATTTTTCAATTTTTGTATATTGCTTATTCTTGTTGCAACGAATTTTTTATATCGACGTGGATCGTTCGCAATCCATGCTAATGCAACTTTTGAATCACTCCACAAAAATATTTTTTCAATGTTTAACTGCGCTGTTTTGCAGACCATTTTCACTAAATTCGCTAACAAATTTGCACTGCACAGCTCTAATTTTGGGATTGTGTGATCCGGAGAATTTTTTGTTTTTGCTACCAAAAGTGTCACTGTAATTTCACCATGATCATTTACTGCTCTAACATACACACATGCGTCATACGCTTTCCCGCTGGCGTCGCAAAAGCCATGAATTTGTACAATTGAATCTGCTTTTGTTTTTAACCAGCGTGGTAATTTTATCTACCATCACTTACAATGGCAAATAATGTAAAAAACTGCATGATGGCGCCATCTCTATGTGCTCATGAAAATTAGAACAAAAAGTTTGTGTAGAATGTTAGTTGTTTGAAGTTTGAATACGGAATCATTTGTTGTGACGTCTGTCATTTTACGCTCGATAAAGATATACCGTGTAAATTGAACAAAAACCGATTTATTATTTGTATTTGGTGAATTTGTGATGGAAAATAAATTGAAATTACTTTGCACAGTTTGTGTCACCGAAATTAACTGCGAGGACGTTGCATATCACATGGTTTTTCTTCACACAAAATCAGTTGACATTTTTGACTTTTTCGCACCAAAAAAAAAATGTTTTAATTGCCTTTGGTGCTCGTTTGGATCGCGAGTTCAATGCCAAGCACATAGAGATGTCGCTCGGAACGTGAAGCTCAAAAAAAATATACAGGTGATATAGAAAGCAAGTGAGGGTAGAATTTTATTGAATTAATTTCTTTTGCACGTGCTTTAAAAATCATCCACTTTTCTATGATATCATTGGGTAGTCGATCATCCCAATCATATTTGTTTTTATTGTTTTTGTCATTTGATAATGCCCACACTTCTCGCATTAATATTTTTGCTTTTACAACCATTGGGGCTATAAAACCCAACGGATCATACAAAGTCGCAATTTCGGAGAATAGCTGTCGCTTTGTTGTTGGTCGAACGTTAAAATCGAATGTAACGCTACAGACTAACTCATCCGTTGTCGACTGCCAATTCACACCCAAAGCTCTTGTTACTAATTCGTTTTGATTTTCTTTGTCACTTTCAGGCAGCTGTTTTGAAAATTCACTTGAATTACTCACAAATTTACGTAAATTGAATCCAAATTCAGTGAATGTGTCCTTAAAATCGTGATATAATTGTACGGCTTCTTCTACGGAATCCGCACCTCCTGTATAATCATCTACATAAAAGCATTCCAAAATCGCTCTAGATACATTTGGATATTTTTCTTTTACGATTTTTGCTATTTCATGTAACGTTCTAATCGCAATGAACGGAGAATTCGACAAACCAAATGTTACTGTAGTCAACTTGTAAGCTTTAATTTTTTCATTTGGAGAGTTTCTCCATAATACCATCTGGTATTTTTGATCATTTTCGCTGACACGTATTTGCTTGTACATTTTTTCCAAATCCGCTATAATCGCAGTTTTAAATTGTCTCCACTTAATCATCAGTGAAAATATCGTTGGCTGCTTTATTTTGCCAACGGCTAGCTGCTCGTTTAACGACAAACCAGAGCTCGTCTTCTGTGACGCATTATACACCGTTCGCAATTTAGTCGTTGAGTTATTTTTGAACACGGCATGATGCGGAATGAAATGTGCATCATCTGGCACATTTTCTGCCAACGCCATGTGTCCTTGGCTGATGGCGTCTTGGATAGCATCAGTGTATTGTTTTTGAAGATTTGGATTTTTTCCAAACCGTTTTTCTAATTGAAATAATGTAGCCAATGCTGCTCTTTTCGAATCACCCAGCTTCGGTGCTGATTGATTTTTAAAAGGTAAAGATACCTCAAACCTGCCGTCAGCACGTCTTTTCGTTGTTCTAACATAATATTCTTCAGAATATTTTTGTTCATCCGTTTCTAAGTCGCTACCATCGCTGTCATCATTTGGCATGCTTTCAGTTTCAAAAAAATTAGAAATATCATCTTCAATCTTTGTGTTTGCAATTAACGTTGTGATTTTTACTGAATTATTTCTTAATGATTTACTCTGTGGGCCCATGATTAACCACCCTAATTCAGAATTTAATGCAAATGGATCCGTTTTTGTTGGTCCTTTTATGAGTCCATTTTTCAAAATTCAACCAAACTCAGCGACTCCCAACAAAAAATCAATTTCACCGTCGTCATTCGCCGTAGGATCCGCATAATTCAAATTATGTAAATATTCAAAATTCTTCAAATCATCTTTAAAATAATTCAAACGTGTAATTTTTTTCATGACCAATGCTTCTGTTTCTAACACAAAATCAGAACTGAAATGTGGCTGCATTTTTAATCGTACAATTTTTTTCGAAACAGATTCACAGCCATCCACACCATCAATGGCAACACAAATAATTTCGATTTTTAAATTTAAAATTTGTCGTGCGTGCTCTGTCACCATTGCTGACTGTGATCCATTATCAACAACTCCTTTCAATTTTATTTTTTGCCCATTGAAATCAAACACTCTAGTTATGACCGTAGCTAATAAGTTTTCATCTATTCGCGTTGCGAGCAATGTACTCACATTTGACACCTCAGCATTTTCGTACACTTGTTCGGTCATTGACGTGGTTGCTACCAACGCTGTATTTTTGATATCAAAGTGCAACAACGTATTGTGTTTTTTGCCGCACTTTTTGCATAAAAATTTGGATTTGCATTCACCAAATTTATGCTTATGAAGACAAGTGAAGCAATTTTTGTTGACTTTTGCCCACTCATTTCTTTTTTCTGAGCTTAATTTCTCGAATTCTTCACACTTGTATATTGAATGTGCTTTGTAACCATTGTTTTTATACACTGTGTCGCAATATGAACAACCGTTGCCCCTTTCGACGTTTTTTTCTAATTTCCTGTCATTTTTTTCACTTTTATCAAAACGTTGAACTTTCGATTCTGCCGACATAAGGGCCAAAAAACGGTTTTCCACGTATTTTAAGAAATATTTCAAAGTCTGATTTTCTTTCACATTGTCTAATTTGCTTTCATAGTCCATGATGGTTTTCCTGTACAATTTTTTCAATAAAATTTGGATCAGTAACACATCCCAGTTTTCAACACTTACGCCTATGCTCTCTATTGACATAAGGCATTCATACGTTTTATCATGGATTATTTTCAATCCCTCACTTGTTTCACTTTTCTGATATGGAATATTCAAAATTTCATCTATTAAATTTGAAACGATTTCGCGTTTATTTTCATAACGATTGGTTAATAACTCGTAACACGTTAAATAACTTGATTCTGTGACTGGCAAATGTTCGACAAGTTTTGACGCTTCACCTGTTAAATTCGTTTTAAGATATTGAATCTTTAAGTCCGTTGTAATTGATCTGTTATTGTGTATAATTTTATCGAACAAACTTTTGAACGCGCGCCAATTTTTTGCCTCACCATTGAATTGCGGAACTTTTAATTTTGGTAATTGCACTTGTTGATTATTGCTCGAATTGCCATTTATCATGTCATTCAATTTTCCATAAGAATTCAAATATTGATTTTGAATTGCGTTAAAATTGACTGATTCACATGCAGCGGCGTCTTGACTCATGGACACATTTCGATACGTTTTACGAAATTCAGCCCACAATGCCTTAACATTATCCAATTGCGCACTTGCAAGACCTTTCGATTCATATTCACTGAGATTTTTTATAACATTCACGGCGTTTTTCAATTCTCTCGACAGATATTTAAATAATTTCACATCGGCCGAATCCGAATTATTCACCGAAATATTGTCAATGTTATTTAATTCAATTTCACTCGAATTACCATTCTCCAGTAAATCGTCAACATTTGAAAAAGACGTAACCGGATGCGTTTTATCGCTTTGAATGTTTGTTGAAGTATTCACTGCACTTGTTGAAGCGGTTTCACCTTGACTTTTTTGCCCAGACGCTTCTTGCTCTAAACCGGCTTGTAATAATTTTTTGTGTTCAATATATGCACTGTGCATTTTGTCAAATACATTGGTGACAAAATACTCCTGATTTGACGATGAGAATTTGTCCAACTTTCTATCATTATCGTCGAACTTGGCCCACCATTCTTCTAAAATGGCCAATTTTTTCTCGTTATAGCCAGGAGTTTCTCTCCGTTTGCCATCTTTTCCATAATTCTCTTTAATTGATCTAAAGTGTTCAATTAAATCTTTCTGAGTATCTAATAATCTCTCCATTGTCACGGTAAAAATAAGTTTCGAAGGACCAAATGAATATCACTTAAATAGATATCCAAATAAAGAATAATAATTAATTAATTAATCGTTCGATAAATAAAAACACGGTGCTTTCGTTTTGAAGATATTAAATATACTGCTTTAATGTTGAATAAATTTTGAACATAAAGGGCCGAAAGTGCAAGTAAGCAATTAATAATGCAATGTATTATAAATGTGTTGAATTTGATATTTATGAATGAACTTTGTTCACTGGTGAACACGTGTCATCTTTCCACGTGCACATATTTCACGATTTTTTATGCGCGTTTCATCGCCTTGAAAACTCAATCCGATTTTTTCATTACGCATTTTTTTCATCGCATTGATATTCAAATGTCCAAGTTTACGGTGCCATAAGAACGCGTCATTGTTTTTTAACACACTCATACATTTCATGGAATCTTCGTATAGTGGGTAGACACCGTCTTTTTCTTTACATTGAGCGATTTCGGCTCCGTTAGCATTTTTTATTGTGCAGCCGTTTTTATCAAACAATACAGTGTTTCCCATTTTAACCATTTTGCTTACGGATAAAATGTTTACCGACAACTTCGGAACGTGCAATATATCACTAACGGCAATTTCCATACCGTCAAGTTTCATATTTCGATTACCGATACCTTCCACTGCCATTTTCGAGTTATTCGCTGTCGTTATATCGCCCGATTGGCACTTTTTCACATCGCTCAGCAGTTCGCGAGTGGGTGTCATATTGCTCGAACCACCAGAGTGGACATACCAACCTTGCCTATTGCCATTGCTATACAATGCAACAAATGCTCCTTTCACGGTTTCTGTCTTTTTCCAACATTCGCCAAAGTGTTTTTTCTTTCTTTTGTTGTTTGAATTCAATTTTTTGTTATTGAATTTTGATTTAGAAATGAATGCTTCGCCACTGTTTGATGGTGATTCTTGGTCCAATAGTTTTGCAATGATTTGATCTGAATTCAACTGAGTAGTCGACGCTTCCACTGTCATAATAAATGGTTGATACTTTTCACTTAAACCGGTCAGAATGATTGCTTTTTTCCATCGTTCACATACTTCGAATCCAATTCCATTCAATCTGTTTACACAGTTTATGATACGGTCAATGTAGTCTTGCATGTTTTCGCACTCATTTAATTTGGTCGATATCAAACTTCGTAATAACGTGGTTTCGCGTGTTAAACCATTGTCGTCAAATAGTCTTTTGAACGTTGAATAAATTTCTAAGGGCGTTGTACAATTTCGAATGTGCTTGTAGAGACTTGTGTCAACGCCCAAAGCCATTATGGCCCGACAGCTCTTTAACTTTGATGCGTCTGTCTCTCTGTTTGATTCATCGGGATCAATACACTTTTCAAAACTTCGATAAATTAAGTCGTGATAATTATCAATGCCTTTCAGTTTTTCAATTTCAAGATCTTTTCCCATTTTGTATATGAATTATCACTTCAAACGAATGTAACAAGAGTCTATGTATTTTGCTTTTTGCAAACGTTTAGTTTTTATATGTAGCTCGTTTTAACTTATTTTGTTTTAACTTTGTAATCTGATCACACTTCACAGCGTAAACTTCGCTTTGCTACCATGACAGAATTATTATAAACGATAAGTGGGAGCAATTAAGAAAACATCTTCTGCATTCTATGCCATGCACATTTAGACTAAGTGCATAAAGAAATAAACATTTATTTCAACAAAATGTGTATACTATCATACATCTACTTCCGATTCCCATTAGAAAAAGATGTGTGATATACATCTACTTCTTAGTGATGCATATCACCCAATTTCTTCTTCTTGTGTAGATGTATGTATACCACACAACTTCTTTTATCTTAACTTAAGAATGACAATTTAAAAATGTTCTACAAGAAATTGACGTATTAAAAATACTTATTTCTAATAAGACTAATTTGGGTAAACTTACCAGCATTCCACTGCGAAAACGCAGTAGGCCGCTTTTGCCACAATAGCCCGAAATGGAATTTTCAGCAACGGGTCTTCAACTTTTCGCCGTTTCAATTTTTGCACTTCCATTATGAGTTTTTCTTTATTTTGTCTATCTCACTTTTCTTGTTTCACACCAAAATCTTATTTTATATCTATGTTTCAGTTTTTTTATTTTTTTAACACCAAATTGTTTCTTTGTCTTTTTCACTTTGTTTTTATTTCACTTCGTTTTTCTTTTCATTCTTTTACTTTTCCGCACACATAGTGTAAGGTGAAAAGTATTGTAATCGGTCAAAATTTTGAAAACTTCAGAAACATGTTTTCTACCCATTATTGAGGTCAGAGAACACGAATTTGGCGTTTTTAAACATGGTTTTTGTTAATCTGTACGTCGTACGTTGTACGTTGTACGTCGTACGCAAAATTTGTTAGCAATATTGCGCTCATCGTAGAAACTTAATTCAAAATCTGACTTTACAGGATGATTGGGGGTCCCGAGGAATAGGAATCATTAGATTTTGAGCGACTTTGGTTGATGAAAAAAAAATTCATGACATGGAGTGATACATATGAAAAAGAGTTCAATTTTCGTTCAAAAGTCATACTTAATGTAGACTTAAACACTCAAAAATATGTATTGGGGTTTTTTTTGGCACGAGAAAACCGAATCCGACGTTAGTTTTGAGATACATTCAATTTTTGATACAGTTTCTTTGAAAAAATCACAAAAAAATTGAATTTTTGTATGGGAATGACATTCAGAAAGTTTGAAGAGATTTCAATTAAAACTAGGGGTACCTCCCATACAAAATTTTCATTTGGCTCAAAAACGAATATTTTGTATGGGAGGTACTCTTAATTTTGGTTGAAATTTCTCCAAACTCTCCAAACGTTCTTCGGAGAAGTTAATGTATTTCATACAAACTATTAAATTCAATTCTATTAAACGTGAAGTTAATGTACTTCTTACATCTACTTCTGACCTAACCTAAAATATTTTTTTGCCCCTTCTTATAAACATATTTACAACAGTGAAATAATAAATAGACCAAGAGCCACCGTGCAAATTACTTTTTTTTCTGTGTACGGCAGATTTTCATGAAATTATCATCTTCACACTGTGTACTGTCCGAATAATATCACTTTTTTCATTGTAATTGGGCGGATCGCGAGATCCGTGGTTTTATTCGCGCTACACGAAATAGTATACTTTTTTTGCACCAATTCGGCAGATTTTTGTGTTAAATTCTTCGTTTTGATCCAACTATATTGAAAAGTAAAAAATCTGCCCAAATGAGTGGGCAAATTGTTCCCATTGGTTCAAAAAATTCATTTTCGAATATTATCTTTGTGAATTTGTTTATCTCTTGTGGTTGTCACAGTTTCTTTATTATCCGTTTTCACAATGTGTTTTTGATATCTTGGCACTGCCTTATTTCGTCTATCTAACATATTTTAACAAAAATAGCATCACCGGATTTATATTTCTTTTCAGTACGCTGAATAGGATATTTTGAGTTTCTAACAATTGTTCCTGTGCCTTTTTAATTAACTCACCCACTTTTGGATATTTATCTGAATGGTAATGAACGTCAGTTGGTTTTTGTTTCGTAACTGAATGTATTGAATTATTATATTCACGTGCGGCTTGATAAATGATATCGACCAATACATCACTTTGCTGTTCAGCTTAAGTTCTTGCCAATTCCAAAATTGTTGAATGGACGCGTTTTACTTGACCGTTCGTAACGGAATGACTCACAGGCGTTAAATGGTGTTTAATTTTATGACGTAAACACTGAGTCATTGTCTGTTATTATATTGAAACAATTTGGATGAATCACCAATATTTGTTCAACCAATTTCGGTACTTCCGTTAAGGATCGTAAATGAAATATTTTTAAAACTTTCGTTTCAATTTAATAATTTGTTACAACGTCGACTCAATAAGCTTACCAAATATGGTATTGCCAATTCGATTATTTGTTTATGGAATGTGAATTTTACTCTTTTTTGTTTTTGAATCAAATTGTTGGACTTTTGAATTATGATGCGTTTACAATGAATTAGTTAAAATACATTTTTTGTGAATTTACTTTTTTTCTTTGCTTTTTATGCTAACAATTGGACTTTACTTTATTTTTGCTTATTTATGTCCAATGGAATGTTGGACATGGCCTAAGTATATCGTCTATTGCTCTTTGGAAAATACTAGGTGCGTTTTTCAAACCGAAAGGCATCCTATTGAATTCGTACTTAGCACCATTTACTGAAAAAGCTGTTTTTTCCCTATCTGACTCTTTAATTTTTATCTGATGGTAGCCTGACTCTAGATCTATTGTACTAAAGTACCGTGCGTTTCCCAGATATCTATCGAAAATCGTTTTACTATTTAGCTTTTTATAATCGATCACCAGTCGTTGTTCAGGCGTTCCGTCCGGATTTACACCCTTTTTCGGTACGACCCAAATTGATGAGTTATAGTTATAACTTGGCCGAATTATATCATTTTTCAATAACCTTTCTATTTCTGAATTGACAAAATTTGCTGCCGATATTGGATATGGATATTGTTTTGACCAAATTGGTTCCTTATCTATCGTTCGTATTATTGCAAAAATGTTAGTATTGTAGGTAACGTCTCATTTACATCGTTTCTTCTCATTATACCTTCGACAAGGGGGTAGACGCGAATTATAAAACTTTGAATCATGTGAATCACAGTGAATCAAATGAATCATTCAAAAGTCAAATAAGCATCATTTTTGGTTTTACTAACATGATCGTTCAAAAAATTCCAAATATTATCGCTGATTTTATTTGGAATTTACTACAAAAACACAAAATAGATAAAAAATAATGAGTTAATACATTTAAAAAAACGTCAAGAAATCATTTTTTCGAAGACAAATAATCTTAATTTTTCAATAAATATTTCTTGTATGACACACAAATGACATTTCAAATGTCATCTAAACAATATGAATCTTTTGAATCACAGTTAATCAAATGAATCATGTCTACCCCCTAGACCTTCGACTACATTTTTGAAATCAGATTCAATTTCTTTTTTTATGATATAATTAATTGAATTTACTTCTTTTGCGGACTCTATTGTTATTCGCTGTTTTACTGTGAATTGTGTATTAGGTAGAGAACGTACTTACATTTGATGTATTCTGTATGAAGCTAATAGCAGGTTCTAACTATATGTGTTTAATGAAAACTACATGTATGTTTGTTATGTACTCAAAGTGAAGTGCCCATGGCTTTAATGTCGCAATACTTTTATAGTAGAGAGCGTGCGTCGGCGTACCGCTAGAAACGCATGCGCTCGTTTGCATACGATACAATTGCATTTCAAATGTTTTTGTGTTTATTATCGCATTGACCTTTCTCATACCTCACATACCAAAAACCATATCAAAATTACCCAAATTTTCTATTATGTAAAATCATGGCCTGAAAATGCCTATGTATTTTACATATAAACGAGTGAGACTCAAACATGTTCTTCTTTTTCCATCAAATATGCCAGTGGTGCCACCAATTTTACATATAAGCGCATACAAAATTTTCAATATGGCTGCGCCCATGAGAGGGAAAATTTCGTCTCATTCATTTCCGCCCCATGTGTAAAATATATGCATTTCCGTTCAGAAAGTAAATTTACTCTTACATATTCGCTAAATTTCTCCACCCCTTACTTCTATTGACTTATCTAATTTTATTATAGTTGCGTAAGGAAATATTTTTCCCGAACAATAATTATGTGAGGCTCCCGTATCTACTAATATTCCAACCTTTTTCCCCAAATGATCTTTCCACACCAGACACAGAAGGCCATTCATTCGTATAAAAAAACCGAACCCATTCTCTTTCACCGCTTCTGTTGTGAAATCATCTTCTTCTCCATCAAGCTCGTTGACATTCAATTCCCCATCAAGCTCGTTTGCCCTGGTTGTGGTTGTGTTTGTATTGGCTTATTTTGTTTCGGGATAAAATTGGGATTTAGTCGCGAAATTTCACCCTTATGTTGCCGAGGCTGATTGAACTGATTGGCGAATTTGATTCGTTCCTGATCGTTCACAAACGTTTGCAATTTAGCGTATGCCTCTGGTAAAGTTGCTGGATTTGCGGCATATAAAATGTGTCCCAAATTTCCCGTTAATCCGGTTACGAAAATGCGTTATGCTTTTTCCGAGGCGTCCTTCACCATTGCATTGGGTATGCCTCTTTCCTTGTGCGTCATATTAATTTTTTTTATCAAAGCATTTAGTTTTTTGTTGACTTCATAGTAGAAATCTTCGATTCTTTTGCTGTAGAACAATCATTTCCTGCTCGATAATGTAGATTGGACGTTTATCAGCAAAGTAGAGTCGAGCGATAATTACTTCAAAATTAAAAACGGTGTTATAGTTTGTCAAAGCTTCAGAGGTTGGACCGACGATTTTGTTTCTCACGATATTCAATGCTTC